CTTACCAAAGCTGAAACACGCATGCTACCAGGCTGAGGGGTAATATTTCTGGATTCAGCAGAATTTCTTCAGATAAATAAAAATTTCGTTTGATAAATTCAGATAGCAGCTATGAACACTGCTGCTAGACTAGAAGAGAACAGATGCTTCCAATTGCTTATTATACTTTATGCCAATGGAAAATGTTAGGTCTCCAAAAACCATGAGGAGAAATTTCTGTACTAATGCATAAACTTCACTTTGTGTTTTTAGCAGGGGTTATTTAGAACAACTGGAGAAAGCATTCATTGCAAGTAGTGTTTGCTAATCTCCCTTCATAGTATGTACACTAATAAATGGCTGTTTTCAGGTGTGTGTAAAAGGGCCAAATGTATTTCGTGGCTATTTGAAAGATCCAGAAAAAACAGCAGAAGCTCTGGACAAAGATGGCTGGCTTCATACAGGAGATATCGGGAAATGGCTACCAGTAAGTTAACTTTTATAGCTAAAATGTACTTCTGCAGTTATGAGCAGTGATTTGACTGAAAATATCTGGTATTGAACACAATGAATTAGGTGAAAGATAATGTTAGGAGGACAATTACTGTTCTAGATAAATTTGTGTGCCTGGGGATTAAAGTGTTAGCAGTGCCAATCCTGAGGCCTTCTGTAGTTTAGGTTAGCTGATGCAAAGCCTGTTTACTTCTAATATCAGTCTGACAGTGCTCTGGCTCTAGCACTCTTTTACTGTACTAGTATGGCATGCTTAAACTGTGAAGATTGGTGTTTTCACTTGAAGTGCCTCTTCTGAGTGGAAGTTATGTCTGTCAACAGAATGGTACATTGAAGATCATTGACCGGAAAAAACACATATTTAAATTAGCCCAGGGAGAGTACATAGCACCAGAGAAGATAGAAAGTGTGTATCTGAGATGTGAAGCACTTGCTCAGGTGTTTGTCCATGGAGAGAGCTTGCAGGTAAGTATTATTTAGGTAATTAAAAATAAATTCAAGAAGAGACTACAGAAGTCATCTTTTCCTCATTCCTCCACCCCAGACTTCAGGACTGAAACCATAAATTTTTGACATTACACATTTGGTTCTTTTGACACATTTTTGTACTTTCGGCTCCAGCAGTTATATAGCATGTATCTGGATTTAATTTCAGACAGTAGTGAAGCTGGATTAATTTGGGTATTAAAGGCTGTTTGTAAGTTGCTAACAGCATGCAGGGGAAGGAGGAAAAAAACCAACAAAACCCCACAACACAAAACCATGAGGGTGGGGGGAGCCCCCCACCACCACCAAAAAAACCTATCTAAATCCAAGATGTCCATGTTTTTACAAGTGTAAACTGAACTGTGTTTCTTAAGGAGAATAATTCTCTTAAATACAAATTCTGAACTGCACTCCTATGTTCAAGTAGCCGTAAGTTGCTGACTTTATAGCAGGATGAGAAATGCTGTCCAAAACCTAATGCTGAGTAGTATGAAAGGACTAGGAACTAAAGTGTTGACTTTGAAAGAAGAAAAGCTTGACAAAAATTCTTTTTTTTTTTTTTAGGCCTTCTTAGTAGCCATTGTAATACCTGATCCTGAGAATTTGCGCAACTGGGCCAAGAAAAAGGGATTTGAAGGCTCATATGAAGAGCTATGCAGAAACAAGGTGAGTCATATCTAACTACAGTTAACTGTTCTGCACCAACTTTTTCAAGCTGTACAATGTATTCCTGTATCCACAGGAGCTTAAAAACTGTATTTTGGAAGACATGGTGAGGATTGGGAAAGAATCTGGTTTGAAGTCATTTGAACAGGTAAGATGCTTGTGAGTATGATTCTGTGACTCAAACACCCAGTTCTTTAAACTTGTCAACACCAATATAATCTGGCTCTCCAGAAACTGCTTTTAATTTGCATCTGGGCTTTATGATGTCTGGGTAATTCTTTAATAGCTTTGTCTACTCCAAGGAATGCAGCTTGGCCAGTAACTGTTTACTTTCCAGGTCAAAGACATTGCCATGCACAGTGAAATGTTTTCTATTGAAAACGGCCTGCTGACACCAACACTGAAGGCGAAGAGACCAGAACTGCGAAAATATTTCCAGTCACAGATAAATGAACTCTATGCCAATGCCAAAATGTAACTGACAATGGAATGAGGGAAGTGGCACATGTCTGATGTCTACTGTTGGCCTTCGTATCTGTAATCTGACTACAGTAAACATAGGGAAGGAAACTGTGCAATCATTAACTTGTACAAAAATGGGTACTTGCCATAGGAACACTGAAGAAATGGAACACTGCCTTACTGTCAAGTTGTGTTGCATACTGTTTTTATGGTGACCTGCAATTTCCTAAAAGAGCCTTAACTATAAATGGTAACTATATCTAAGTTATTTAAGACTTCCTTGGCCAAAAATGGGACTCTCCTTCACCAAGGAGCTAAGGTTTTCTTATTGCCAGCATGTTTGCTGCCTGCAGTGTATTTTGCAGTTAGCAATTCCACAAAGGATTTGGCAGGTTTGAAAATGCCTCTAAGTATCTTGCATCCTCAAAAGGATTACTTAATCTGTTCAAAAAGAAAAAGACAAAACCCCCAACCACCAAAAACCCAAACCTTTACAGTTGTATTGCTGGTATCACATCTTGCATTAGTCCTAATGTTAACTGGGGCAAAACATCTGAATGGGTTTTTCCTTCCCTTCTATATCTGCAGCCAGTTCTGAGATCTATTTTTATAAGGTAAAAGTCAGAACTTCACACAAAGGAAATTGATGAATGCAGGTTCCTCAGAGTAACTCTGCATATGATGGCTCTGCACTGAAAGTGTGGATGCAGTTAATTCAGCAAGTGTGGTCTTTGCTGCATGAACACAAATTCCAGAATAGTGCCAGCCTGGTAAATGAAAGATCCTAACTCTGGCAAGAACACTAGAGACTTATAAACAAAACCATTCAGGAGGCTGGCTATGCTAACAGTCAGGTAAACTGCACCTGTACTAGCCACTCATTTCCCTGTAATGAGCGTGTATTTAAAATGCATTTTAAAAATGTGCCAGGTCTGTAAGCAGAAGAGCTTCTGACATAACCTCTGTTTTCTGTGCTTTATGTATGAGCCACTGAGTATTCTTCACTGAATAGCAAAATAGATCAGGTAGAATGTTTTTGCCTGATGCTTTGCAGCAATTGGAAGTATTTATGTATGCCAACAGAATTGTGTGTTGGCACAGGCTAGGTATTTGTTCAGGGATAAAAACCTAATTCCAGATAAACTACAAAATAACTAGTTTTTGTTTGAGAAATCAGCAGAAATAAGCCTTATTAAAGCAGAAGTCTTTTACTATCCTTAACGGTTGGTTTTGCATTAGCATTCATTGCTGTTTTAAAAAAAACATGGATCTATGTAAAATACAAGCACAACAAGGTTTGCACTAAGATTTGTGTGTGATTGTAATGCACTACTCTGTAGCATAATTTCATACATGTGTGCAATTAAGGTACACAAATCAAAGTCAACTGTTAGAGCAGTAGTTTGTTACATTGGAATTCAAATGTTTGCTTAGTGTTGGCTATTTCTATGTTTTATAAAACCAAAACAATTTTCAAAACCAATGAAGGAAACCAAAATAAATATTTCTGCATTTCAACTTGGTCAAGTGTTTGTTTATCAAGGCACGATGCTGCTGACTAACAAGCCCGGGTTCACTGTGTAACTGACAAGCTGTAGAACTTCACTGCTACAAACATACTAAATGGAGGACAAATACTGATTGTTGACACTTTACTTCTGGAAAGTAACTTTCTGCTTTGGTCTGATATTTGTGTAGGCTTTTGGCCAGTGTCTGTAAGCAAGGGACTCTGTTGTATGTAACTTGCTCCATCAGGATTCCTAAGCACTAGAAGTCCTTTGTCTTCAGTATGGTTTCTGATGGTTAAGTAGCATTCTTATTATCAAAACTTCTGAGTGAAATGTGGAGTTTTCTGAAACTCTTAGGCTGGGAGGTAGTGGTTGTCCTTCCTGTGTTGTCATCATTCTTCCCCTTCCCCCTTCTATTGTGTGTCTGGCTTCAATCAAGGGTATGCTATGAAAGACTTCATGGGCAGATTTATCAGACCAAGGTATGTGAAGCATCACCGCCAAAGCAAGGTGTAGAGCACACTGTGAACACAGATGTTACTGTGAAATAATAAGCACACTTCTCTTCCTAGCCATGGTAGACTTTCTCCTTTTGAGTAATTTCATGTGTTCCTTTATTTCTTCCCTACTGAAGGAAATATAAACCCAATTTTTGTCACTTGGCAAGATAGCGATGTGTCCCCCCACCTCTCCTCAGGGACATGGCTAAGTGAGGGGTGGGAGCTGGATCAAGTTTTATTCTCGACTAGTTTCTTAACTGCTGCAAGGTTTTGACTTTGTTTTCTGTAGGCAGGTATGAAGTTGGAGATGGCTAGTGCATTGGCCTGGCTCTGTAATGCCACCTATGCACAGAAGAAAACAGGGTTTGGGTGGGTTAGGTGAATTCATGTGAACACTGACTCCACCTGTGCTGCTAGATGAGTTAAAAATAAAACCTTGGTATCTGGAATGGGGAAACACGACGCTACAGCACCTGTCAGGGCACGGTTTGGACTGAGCCGTGACCAGAGTGCAGGCAAACGTGTTACACGCAGGAACAAGCTGCTTCTGGCACCTCTGCCCCGGCTGCCGAGGGACCCCCACCGCCTCACCCCGACGCTTTCACCTGCCGCCAACCCGCACCGAGGCCCCACTGCAGCTTTCCCCTCGCCTCGGGGCACAACGTCCCTGCCACCTCCGCCACGGCGCCGCCGCCGCCGCTTCCCCCTTCACCTTCCGGTGCTGCCCCCGCTCATGGCGCCGCCCCTTCCCGCCAGAGGCGTGCCCGGTTCGAACCGCGGCGGGAAGGCGGCGGTGCCAGCGGCGGGTGGGTGCCCTGAGGGGGTCGGGCGGAGGGGCGCCCATGTCGGCAGGAGCCTCCCGCCGGGCGGTGGCGGTTGCGCGGGGCCGGGCTCCCGCTGTGGCCACCGACTGCTGTTTCCTGCTGCTGAGGCGGCGGGCCCGGCCGGGCGGGCTCTGGGCTGCTGGCGGTCGGGGACGGGGCCTGGTGTGCTCTGCCTGAGCGGATCGGCCCTAGGGAAGCAGAAGCGAAAGTATGAGCAGCGTTATACGCTAATGTGTTCGTTAAACACGTCTTGTTGCTCATTTAGACGTGCTGTGCCGGGTGTCGGGCTGGCCTAAGGAAGGGAGCTCTACTTGTGAAGTGAGTTATGCGTAATGCACCGAGTTAACAGCGATATCCCGTTCTCTCTCAGGTATTGAGACAGCAGATTCGTATCGGGGACAGTTTTTCAGTAGCTCTATCCTCAGCTGTATATTTAGCAGCATATACCCAATAGTGAAATGTCCTCAAGAAAGAAAATGAAGAGCAGTCATTCCAGCAAAATGTTAAAGGTAAGTTTTCCTAGCTTGAGCAGAATTGAGACAGTGAGTGGTTTAGTTTTACTGTGCTCTTACAGCCATCGTCTCTTGAGGTGGATGCACGGGTATTGATACAGGGCTCTGCGTGGGTGCTGGGAGCTCTGCACTGCAGTCCTTGCTCATGCAGGTTTGAGGTGAGAGGGATTTCCTTTTTTGCCTTTTTTTCATTTTTTTCCTTTATGACTAATACATCATCAGGCAGAACAGGTCACTGACTTTTAAACGGCCAAAAGTTTGAAAACGGTCTTGTAAAATTAAAGAGAACAGCTTATACAGGAAGTAGTTGATAGGTCGGTATTTGGTACCATAACTAAACTTGTGAGGCACTGCTAAGTGCTGGTAAAACTAAAAGCTCAGAAAGTCAGTGTTTTCTGTTTATAACTTCCCATCCTTGCACACACCCGTTAGTGATGAAATTCACTCACACACTTTGGATGCTAACGACACATCTACAACTATTTCATAAACTAGTGCCCGTCTCTACTTTCTGCTTTACAGAACTGCCTGTGCAATCCCTGATTTATAAATGCCACTTTCTATAGGAAGTTACGCCACTGCTTTTCAGGTTTTTAAAGTGAGAATAATTAAATTGGGAATTTATGTAATACAGAGATGAAAAAAAGAATATTTTAATGCCTGAAAAGAAAAAAGGCTGCAGATCATAGAAACTAGGTGTTAGACTGTTATAAGAGTTCTAAGCTTATACACTTAGCTTTATAAAATAAAGGGCACACTACAGTATAGTATCAAATAGTAGAATACATCAATTTTATATCATCACTTTTCCTAGAGGAAAAGAAACCCTATAGTCTGAGGAAGAAATACATACTTCAAATACTTTGTATCATGGCTCAGTAGTCAATATGGTCCTGGTTAAATGTATTTCTAGTCAAGCATTCTTGAAATTTATTGTCATATTTAATCTGTTTTACACTCAAAAACCTGGATGAACTAGCTATTAATTTCCTACCCATCCAGGAACGCAAACCCAACTCCCATCCTCGGAAATTACCTTCACTTGAGGAACCAGATGTCTCGATGATACAGAAGGTATCGCAAGGAAATCAGCTTGAGGAGCTTGATGATTCATTTGGTCAGTATTAACTTGAATGTCATTTAATGTACAGTTTTCATGAACCAACCAGATGGGCAAAATATTTTAATGCTTACCTAGGTAAATGTATTATTTCTTCGGCGGAGCAAATTATGGGCAGGAGAGACAGAGGGTTTTTTTGAGAGTGGTGTTCTTTTCTATCATTTAGGAAGTAACAAGAATAATGTTGTAATATGTGCAAGTAAAGTCTATGGAAAAATATTCTCTTCAAGTTTAATAATCTGAACGTTAGAATTTCCGCAATGTAACATTGCAACTGTATAAGAATTTACATTTAAAAATGAAAGATCAGTATCTTAAATTATTTATCCCTGTGTGAAGTCCTCAGTTATTAAATATAGATAGCTTTTATGTTACAAGGCCAATAATAAAAAAATTTGAAAAAACTCTGTAATTAGAAGCTACAGAGAAAATGCTGAGAGCTTTCGCAGCTGTAACGATTGTTTCTTCAAGGAAATTCCGGATAATATACATGCAGCTATTAGAAACAGCGCTGAAAATTAGCTACAAAAACCAGTATAGCAAAAGTGTTGTCATGAGAAAAGGGCTGGAAAATTAAATGCTCTTCTTTTTCTCTCTACTATGTCGTGTATTAGAACTATGAATAGAATGTCAACTAATGCTAATAATAGAATCATAGAATGGTTTGGTTTGGAAGAGACCTTAAAGGTCATCTAGTTCCAACCCCTCTGCCATGGGCAGGGATACTTTTCCAGTAGAACAGGTTGCTCAGTGTAAGGTAACACTAAATTTCTGTGGCAATGTGCTTGAAAAAAGAAATTGTACTATGGAAGACATAATAAAAACTTAAAGTGTTTGAACTTAAACAACGTTAGAACTTAAAGAAGTTCTGATGTATTTTGGTATCTACCTTCAAGATTTCTACACTTACCAATGTTCTGTAGCAGCTGTAACTGCTGCCTTACAACATCAGTAACGCAGCTAAAAAGATCCGTATTAAAAACAAAAGGTAAAATTTAGCAAGTAGTTGTTTAAGTGTGTAAAAGACTGATATGTGCCATAACAAAGAGAGACTTTAAGTAAACCGTGCAAAATACTTTGCTTGCTATGTGCCATGCATACCTACTGAGCTTTCCTGCACCTTTGGTTTCGGGTTGTAAGGAAATAGCAGGTGGGTGAGTATAGAAATTGTGAAGCTTTTCACAATATATATATCTTTCTAATCCTCAAAGAATGCTTTTAACGAGAGTTTCTTTGTATTACAATCAAACCATAAATACTCTAACTAAATGTTTAATGGCAGGCAGCACTAGCATGTCTGTACTCTTTGCCTGGACAGATGGGAACGGTTTTCACACAGCTCATTTTCTGTTCTTTATAGATCACCCTTTGCACAGTACTGCTCTGGATGCTTATGGAGAGGAACTTTCACAAAGCGAGTCACTTGGCCAGGTTTCAGAACCACAAAGGAAAAATACAGAAAGAAGGTCCGATGAAAAAAATCATTACCAGCATTTAGTTTAATCTTTCAATTTTGAGATTAAATGGGAAAAATGTTATGTTTGTCAGGTACTTTAACTTAAAATTTCCTAGATGAGAAGCAACACAGTAAGTAATGTTGGGAAATGTAGAAAAGTGAGAATAAATTAGTCTGCCTTCTGTAAGCAGTACATTGATTTAAGTACTTTCTGTATTTGTTTTTTTTAGTATGAAAAGATTTTCAAATACCTGTGTGAGGCATTGATCAGTTCTCTAAATGTTGGTGTCTAAGTTAAAAGATAGAAAAAAATAAAAATAAATAGAAACCAGTTAAATTCTATGCAACAAAGAAAATTATTTTTAAATATTTTAATGCAAATTTTAGTGCATTTCTCACTTGTTAAATCAAATTTGGTTTAAATCTGAAATAGTTCTGATTTGAATAAAATAGCAAGACAGTAACAGCGTTTGTATGGCGGGAGGATGTGTATTTTTCTTTATTACCAGCTCTGTTCCCCGCCAAGGAACCCTTCTCCATTCCTGCTAAAGTATCTTCACTAGTAATTCTGCCTCTGTTTTGAAGTTCCTGTTTAATACAACATGGCTTAGTTAGTGCTCAGTTAGCAATGGGTTTCTAAGTTGTCGCGAGGGTTGCTATTGAGGGATTAAGATTCTGCTCCCTGTATATGCCATTTGCAACTTCTTGTTGCAACTCTACTCTGGGGAGCACAAACTAAATGACATAGTGCTACAAAATATTCCCCAGAACACAAGGCTTTGTTGTGTAAGTGGTTGAAGATTGTTCTTTCTCAGTGTATAGTGGGTTTACATGTGGATGTTTTTCTTTTCCTAGTAAAGAAACACCTTGCTCAAAAACATCTGATGGTGATGTTCGGAAATGCAGCGCAGCTGATTCTGAGGATAAATCCCTTACAGACAATGTGGTACAGAAAAAGTTGCATGAGTATTATCAGTCAATTTAATTTTAGCTTGCTTCATGCCATGCTTGCATTGGAGGGCTGGAGGAAGAGGAAGACCTTTCATTCATTTCTTAGTACTGCCTTAGTACTTAATGATATCTGAAATAATTTATTCCTCAAGGTATTTCTGTGAGATGACCAGGTGAAATGCTTAAAGCTACAGTGATCATGTCAACAGGGAATATAACAACCTGTTGTTCCTGGATCCAGTAGCCTGTTCTGTTGCTCATTTAGGAATATGTTATTTTAAATAACTTTTTTCTATCTGGAATAGATGTTCTTAAGGAATGGTGTACAAATGGAATATAAATCCTTTGTATTTGTTCAGCATTGAAGTAAAACATATCTATGAGAGAATTGAATAGTGACAAAATTGATTTTTAATATATAGTAGAATAAAACAAAATCCACTCCTTTTTTTGTTTTTCCACACTCAGACCACAGTTTGTGTAAAATGTTTTTAGCCCACTTAGTTTTCAGGCACACAGAGGAAATTAACTGTCTGCAGGCTTGAGAAAGTAGGCCTATGACAAAAAAAGTTATGCAGTAGTTTGCTTAAAAGTTCTTTATGTATTGAAATTTCTTGGAATTGTTGAAAAGTGTGTTCTAAAGTTCAGTACAAGGTGTTAGTCTTTCATCAGTAAAGTACACCTATGCAGGACTCTGTAGAAATGCTGTTGGTGTCCCAAAATAGTCAGAGTAGAGAAAGGATTTGGACAGAATGTGGGTGAAAAGGAAAATGAGCAGGTGCTATTGATCAGAGAACTGTTAATCCTGGGTGATGGCTGTGCTGAACCGAGGGTCCCAATGCTCCTTAAGATGTTTCTAGTCCTACAGCACAGGCAGTGGCTGACATATCAGCTGGCCAGTGGGATCAGGCAGCTGCTGTCCTTCAGCATGGTGGTCACTGTGCTGAGATTGTGGTGAAATAGGCCTAGGTAAATGTTACTGAGCTTTCAGTCAGGAAATGTTTTCCTGTGTTCTGCCTAACTGCCGTCTCTCAGAATTTTAAGTGAATAAACCAATGGGTTTTCTGGAAATTAATCTACTTTTTCTATCACAGAAATCTCAGAATACTACTCAATTCCAGGCAAAAGAGAAGCAGCCTTCAGAGGAGAACACATCAGATCCTTCTGGTAAAGTAGACTTCAAAACACCTGTATAGCTTTTTCTTATTCAAGATGAATGCTTTTCCATAACACAATGGTTTTAGTTTCTGGCATGTAGCAACATACTGCTTCTAGAAATGGGAGAGTTTAGTTTCAGGTTTGGAACAGACACTCATTAGCAATGGTTAAATTGAGGGTCTGGTGTGCCACACAGATTCCCGTGGTTTGCATCTCTGCAATTGCCTGGACTTACTCTCTTAGGGGTAAATCATAGGTGTGCATCATCAGTCATACTCAGCTTGGCTCCCTTTGGAGTGAAGTCTGGCCCATGGATGTGGAACTGTAAGACACGTCAGTACATCCCTTAGTCTGTAAGCCTGGAGCACCAGCTGTGGGGCAGAACCTGGAGTGCCCCTGACTTTGTGTGTCGGCACAGCTGTTGGTATAAAGACCTTTGAGGTAGGGAACATCAAGAGTGGCATTTTTCAGCAGAGAGAGACTTTCTCAGGTGTCATCTTGCTTCCTTTGAACAGTATCCCGTCACATTCAAGTACTAGATTTACATTTGGGAGTGTGTGAAGAAACACAGTTTAACTTTTTGTGGAATTAGTTAATAACACTACTGCAAAGGTTAAAAAAAACAATTATATATAGGGGTTTTTTGAAGCATACATGGTATTAATACAAAATGTATACAAATATAACAACTCATGATTCTTTTGAGTAATGCAGGTTTATCAAACTCAGGCTAATAGTTTTTACAGCACAAACAGTTGTATCTATCTACCCTGTGTAGTTTATCAGTTGGTTTAATAACGTGCTCCTGGACTTGCTTGGAATGATGAATAGAAAGTTCTTTATGATTGATCATCCAAATCTGAAGTATTCACAAATAACTGTATCATAATTGTTCAGCCAAAGAAAGATATGTTCCTCTTTTATTAAAATATTCCTAACTTTTAGATGGCTATTTTAATAGTGAGCACAATCACTTTTCCATTATATTATAATGTGTTCCTAAATTGTGCAATACTTGTCTTTATTCTGTGGTTTCAGTGGATAGTCCATGTTCTGTACAGGTTTGGTGTCCCAAAGAGGTGAAGAGATCTCCTAGAGATATTACAGAATTGGATGTTGTTCTGACTGAATTTGAGAAGATAACAGCAAATTACAGGTAAATATTCTGCTTTCCTATGGCTGAATACTCAAAAGTGTTAAAAACAAATTATCTGTGTTTTGCTAATAGGCTGTCCTTCAGGGGATGCACTCTTGAATGGTTACATGCTGATGGTATTTTAATGATTATTAGGTTTCTGTGATACAAATATTTTTTGTATGTGATCTTGAGGTGGTCTCTAGGGATTCGGTATTTTTCCAAACATAAGAACAACACATTTCAGCTGATGTTTTTCAGTGTAGAAAATTAAGCTATTGCTAGTACATGGAAGATCTCCAGTAACCTGTGCTACTAGCTGCTTAACTCTGGGTTTTATTCATTACTCCAAGGATGAGATTTCTCCTTTACTAAACCAAATGGTTTGTGTTTTGTCTCTCTGACTTCTCCAGACAAAGCACAGAATCAGACATTTGCAGAAAAGCTATCAATAGCTTCTGCGCTGCCTTCAAGGACGAAATCACTGATCTTGTAAGTGCATCGTAAATAAAATCAATTGTGTGGTAGCGATTATAGAGATATATATTACACTGGAGTCAAAATGCTTATGGTTTTATATTGTCCTTTACATATTTATTTTATGATACTTTAAATGTTCTAATCTCTTGTCAGGATGAATGCTTTGAATACAGTTTGTTGGTGTGCAGGTTGTGATTTGCTGCCTCTGTGCTGGCTTTCATGAGAATTGCCTTTAGGCACAGCATTGCTCTCACTGATTCAGTAGAATGGTTTGGGTTGGAAGGGACCTTAAAGATCATCCAGTTCCAACCCCCTTGCTATGGGCAGGGACACCTTCCACTACACCAGGTTGCTCAAAGCCCCATCCAGCATGGCCTGTAAGTACATTGCAAAGTTGTCAGTTTTTGAGAATAGGGAAGCATCTAATAATCCTGTTTGACATCTATAAAGCTTTATCTAGTAAAACTGGAGAGCTGCATAATTTGACTGATCAGTTCTGCCAAACACTGGGCTCACAGATTAGTTTTTAAAGGTTGGTGATTTAATGGTTGTATTGTGTCTCAGTGACTCTTGTCTAGAGGCCTGGCTAAGGTCTCTGACAGGAAAAATTGCCCTTTTTTAATTAACACTTTGAACCTAACTGTAAAAAAGATGATTAGCTTGGAGGACTAACATTTCTTCTCACTAATAAACATGAATAAATAAACTCAGAACTTTGTAGGAGTTATGAGAAGTATAATGGATAAGTACTAAAACTACCAAGTGATTCATTAAAATGAGCAGGTTCTAAAACTGCTAGATTTACACATTTATATATAAAGTTATATAAAAATTAAGCTAGGTAGTACTCCACTAATTGGTACAAGGAGTATTACTTGCACTGACTGGTGCAAGATGATTTATTTTGTGCATGAGTCTTCCTCTGGCATGAGGAGGGGAAAGAACTGATACACAACTGACATTTGTAATCTTCATTTGAAACAGTGCTGGGGATTTTTAATCACCTATTTATGTCATTTCAAAGTAGTTCTTGCAACTCTGTTTTTAGGAGGATAAAGATGAAATAAAGATCCATAGTCAGTCTGTAATTCTTCTTTTCCTCTGTAGATAGTGGAAGTCCAGAAATTCGAGAATATGAAGAAAAAAAATGCCAAGGTAAATGCATATCCATCACTAGATTGTACAGCATACAGGGATGAGCACTGAAATTTTGAGAAGTTGACCAGAAGGAATAAAATAATTTGCCAAAGCAGTGTACTGTACTGCAGAATCAATTGCACAAATAGAGGATATGGAACCTATCCTGGTTTCACCTGGGACAGAGTTGATTTTCTTCCTAGTAGCTGGTGCAGTGCTGTGTTTTGGCTTTAGTCTGAGAACAGCGCTGATAATGCACCAGTGTTTTAGTTGTTGCTCAGTAGCACTTGCTCTGATCAAGGACTTCTCAGTCTCATGCTCTGCCGGGGAGGAGGGAAAGCCAGGAGGAAGCAGAGACAGGACACCTGACCCAAACTAGCCAAAGGGGCACGTCCCGTACCACGTCATCCCCAGTGTATAAACTGGAGGCAGTTACCCGGAAGGCCCAGATCACTGCTTGGGTTGGGCTGGGTATCCGTTGGTGGGTAGTGAGCAGTTGTGTTGTACATCACTTGTTTGTTGTGTTGTTTTGTTTTGTTTTTTTTTGGGGGGGGGCTATTCCTTCCTCTCTCTATTTCCTATTATATTTATTATTAATAACAAATTATTAAAATGTCCTTGCTCAACCCATGGGTTTTACCTTTTTTCCAATTTTCCTCCCCATCCCACTGGGGCAGAGGGTGGAGTGAGCAATTGGCTCAGGTGTGGTACTTAGTTCCTGCTGGGCTTAAACCACAACAGACCCACCAGAGGCTTTTTGGAAAAGATCTGAGTAAATACAATGGATTGGAAACTCCATACGTATACTGCTATAGTGGTGTAAAAAGAGGTGTCTATGATTGTGAGTTGTTCCTTTTCATGAATAATTAATGAAATTAATGATGGTGAAGCCTCTGGAGAGCCAATTAAATATTGAGAGCTAACCTCCAAGAAATATAGATGTTCAGAGGAAGGCAGTTCCTCTGTTCATTCAGAGCGAGTAGGAACTGACTGAACATGTGACGGGGGAACAACAACATGAGGAGGAACTAGTGTCAGAGCAGAGAAAGGTTGCAGTGGTTTCATCAGGAGAGAGGTGACTGCCTTACCATAGCAGGTTGAGCACTGTCTGTTGGAGGTTTTCTGCCCAGATTAACATCTTGTGCCAACTTTTCAATGACAAAATAGTTTTTAACAAGTAAAGTCAACAAAAACCTTATTCTGGGCGGTAGCAATTAATGTGCTAAAGTCTAGCTAGTTGGAGGTGATATGGTAAACTACTGGGCATATAAAATGAAAACCTTAATATACATCTGGCATTCACAGCCACTCAGAGTTAATCTTATTTTGCCTCTTGTACATCTCTTTAAAATCAGATTTTTAGTTGCTAAATTTACATTTATGATTTGTTTTGGTTTAAGTTGGATGTTGTATTAATGAAAGCTTAACTATACTTAGTTCCTTGGTTATGGCAGCCATACATTCTTATTAGTCTGCATTTTTAAGACAGAAACAAACAAAACCTTGGTAGAATTGGTCATCTTTGGGTTCAAAATGTCAGAAACTCCTTTTGTATGCTTGTAGATCCAGTGTTCCTTAAGAGAAATTTTGGATGCAGACGAGAGTTTGACGTTTTAAAGAGCTTGGAAGTGTTTAAAATAGAAATGTATAGTATGGCAGTTTATAAGGTTTGGTATCTGGGAATATTCAGCACCAAGAATCAGAAGCATAAAACTTCAAAGGAAAAAAGTCAACAAAATTGAAGTTATTTGCCTTTGAAGTTACAACACCATTTCAAAGATTTTTCTCACTGTTTGCTTCAGGTATTAACAGACATGAGAAAGAAAAGGCAGCAACTCTTTCAACTTGGACAAGAGCAATTTGGGTATGTTTCTGAGGCCCAGGAGTAGCCTGAAGAACTTAAGAAGTCTGCTATTTTGTAACCCAGAAGCGAAAGTAATGGGTTTTTTGTTCTTTCATATTATTTTGATGAAACTCTACTCTTGGATTGCTTTGTTTTTGCAAAAGCTCAGGATAACCTGATACAACTCAGGACAGTCATTCCTACAAGTTCCCTTTGGTAACTGGTTACTGGGATGGTATTTCAGACCGTATAATCATAAGAAAAACACAAACATTACAATTTGAATCATAAATTTACAAAGGTAATACCGAGGGCTCTTTTTTGGTTTTGAGCTGGGAGAATGTGTTTCACCTTTGCAATTTGGCAGGGATGCCTCTGGGTACATGGTTTACTTCCATCTCATGTGGCCACACAATTCCTTCTCTAACTCGGCATTAATCTTAAGTATCATCCAGATGTGCAACACAAAAGTTAAGTTCTTTGGAAGAACCACTGGACTGCCACATAACCCGTTTGTTAGTTGTGGCAAGGTTTATACCAAAGCTATCTGGAGCACACGCACTGTAAGTCAACTCTGTGGGGAACCACTGCCTTGGATCCACAAAGGCAGATTAAAGCCCCTTTCTCTATGGCCATGAGAGCCTGTCTGTGTTTTCTTTGGAGTACTATGGATAAACTTCACTCGAGGAACACATTAAAGGCATCCCTCAGGGTTTAAACCCCCTCACAGGCTGACACTGTCTTCGCATCTTTTTATTTGTTGCCTTTTAATCCTTTGATCACCTGAAAAAAGGTTTTTTGCTGCAACACTGTTAAATGACTGCTGCTGTTGCTTGTGGAGTGCAGTTTTAATGGATTGCGCCTTCCCTTTTACTTAGGCAAAGGTGCATGTACTTGGGGCTCCTGAGTATGCTTCAGCATAAGCACCCAACAAAACACCTCAGCCTGCAAGCAGGTGTGTGTGGAACATCAGGTACTTCACTTGAAAAAAACTCAAGTGCTTTAGAGAGAGTGGCTATATTGTCAGACTCAGAAATGAGATTTGGGAAAAAGGTTTGTGTCTTGTGTGGATTTGGACTCATGCTGTCATTTAAAGACTAAGCTGGTTGGTCTAGTTAAACACTATGTTACACTAACCTATGTTTTGTATTTTGACCCACCTTTCCCTGGAATCTTCAGAGGAAATATGTTCATAAGTTACTCATGAAATAAATATGCAGATGTAATAATCAAAGCCTTGATCTTTTTCAGAGTGGAGCCACAACTGATACGCCTACAAACAGAATATGCTGAGGTACAGGAAAGGCAATCTGCCTTGAGGCAAGCAACTGAATTACTTACTCATTTAAAGGAGCTACAGCAAGACTGTTTGGATTATAGAGAAGAAAATCCAACAGAAAAAGTGGTTGTAAGTACATATTTTGTGTGTGTTCCTGAACCGTTCTGGATCAGCCCTCCTGCCCTTTTTTTTTCCTAGACTGATGGGCATTTCTATTAATGTTTAACTTACTTACATTAAATAGCAGTATTTTGTTAATTGTCTTTGTGGGAGCAACTTGAGGATCACTGCTGCAACTGTACTGTGGTATCTCATTCATTTTTTTTGGCCCCATGTTAGAAACTAAAGTATTTCAGAGGATTCTGCTAGCTTGTTGTCTGTGTCCAGGAATTCAAAGGACACAGAAGCATAGCAGCTGTCCTCAGGTTTTAACATTTTTTATAGAAATCAAAGAACAATTAACAGTGAGAAACAAGTAATCAATTCCTTTTATTGTTACTGATCAAAGGTGGGAAATGCTCTGGTATTTACATGTGTGTTCTGTAAGGTGTTTAATTATAAAGACAGTAACTTCTCATGTAGTCTTGGCACTCCTGTCACCATGGCTTATGACTTGGTGGTGTTTTCTGTTGACAGCACTCAATGCCTGTCTGTGTAAGGGAGATCCTCCCGTTTCAGAAGCCTCTCTAATGTTGGCTGTTTTACACTTTCAGAAATCACCTTGCACCATTTCAGATAGAGGAAAAATAAATACAGATCTGTAAGTGATTTTTCCAAGAGTTAAAAAGATTGCCTTTTAATTTTATTTCCTTATCAACAGTATGGAACTTCCAGCCTCCCTGCTCTTCTGGTGGAGTCACGGAGAATTCTAGGAGCAGAAAAACACTTTCAGAATATTAATGTGAAACTGGAAGAGGCTCTGGCTGTACAAAGAGAGAAGTTATCAGAGAAACATTAAGTGTTTTTTAATAGACTTTTTGACATTTGCACATAACAGTTACTACAATGGTCAGTGCTTAAAGCTTGTTTAATCATTGCTGCTCTATGTTGCTTCAGTGTTTAAAAGAAATCAGTGACTTAACCAGAGGTTTTATCTTTCTATAGTTAAATAGTCTGTGTGAGAACGTACTCAGGATGGCAGTGAAATTAATGAAACAGGTATTCCAGTTAAAGTAGTAAAATTCTTATGTGCTCTGTGAACAATGTTGGGTATTAATCTTGGGCTTTTAAAGTAATGTGATCTTGAAAGCAATATGTATTTTTAAATGAGAAGACATACAAATTTAATAAAAAGGTTTGTTTATTTGAAATAAGTAATTTCCATTTCTGAAAGTAAAGACATCTGCCTTGGTTTGTCAGGAGAACTTGGACATACAACTAATAAAATAGAAACCACACAGCAGAGAGTGTTAAAAGTGCTAAACTTGGAGCAGCGTTCATCACAAGTTTTCAGTCCAGTACTCTTCAGCCTTCATATAGTCTTCCATGATCTCCTCATGCCTGTTGAAGACCATCCAGTTGAGAGGACACTTGGTTGTTGGCAATTACTCAGTTCTTTGTCTTACAGCTCTGCAAGAGCGCTTTTGAACTATATCACAGTATCTGTCACAGAAGGCATGCAAGAGGCAAACGTCCCTGCTAGCCAAGTCAGTGGTTAGTTGCTTTCTTTATTGCAGGTGTCCTGTTTCCTTAAAGCTTCCAAAAGAATTTCATCAGGGATTTCTTCCATGGCATAATTCAGACTGTCATTTGCAGCTTCAGCTAGTTCCACATCTTCGGTAGCTTCTAGGAAACAGGCATCATCGCTTGCACTGTCCCACTTGCTGTCTGACAACAGGAAGCCTTGAGACAAGCTTTTTTCTACAGATACTGAGGTATTTGACAAGTCTGACACATCAGAATGGGGCTTTATTTCTATGTTCCTGCTTTCACACTCTTCTTCCTTTTAGAAACAAGAATCCTACTTACTACATATGAAAATGGTCTTCATATCTTTAACTGCTCTGACCTGAAAGTTTGAAACTCATACTGTCACATCTAATGGATACTACAGAAAGCTGGCCAACAAGAAAGATGTTCCAGTGCATTGATTTATAATCACATTAACCAGTGGAAGCCTATTTTAATAGGAATAGAAATATGCTGTTTTTCTAGCAAACTACAAGTAGTCTGATGAATACAACTTCTTAAAATAATACAAGGTTAAAACCAATTTTAGTGTCTGTTTAAAGATTCTGTTGGGACCTGAAAATGCATTGAAATTACACTTTCTGTGAAATAACACTATTTAATATAAAGTTAATTATAACACATCAATAGCTAACACAACAGCTATTGATTATCTGCTTCAGTAGAGCTTGATGTGGCATTCTGCAGTGTGAAATTTAAGCATGTGAAATTTAAAAGTTGCAGAGATGCCAACTCTTACTGCCTCCTCAGTGGAAAAATTGCTATGTTCAGGGTTTAGAATCCAGGTGCAGTATTCAGTTGGTTTAAATATTCTACCTGTGTGGGTAAACATAACTGCTTTAATACACTAAAATGGAATTTAGTGGACTTCAAATTTGAGCGTCACTGACTTAAATTTGACTCGGACTCAAGTGGTCCGTGAGCACTTCTATTTTAGCTGGTCCAGCATGAAGTCAAAAGTGCACAGCAGAGCTTAATGCAGGCAGTTTCTCCATTCTGCACCTGGAGTGCTCTTGTGGTTTATGCAATGGGAACTACTGCCCAGAGCAAAACAAAAAAGTCTTTAGTCCCAGGGGAAGGTAGGCTATTGCAGTAACTCAGTATATAAAGCTAATGTAGCTTTATCTGTGCTGACAGGTTTTGTACTGGATCTCCTGTTGGAGAACTTAAAAATGAATATATGGAGCTACCCCACCAGCACAGCTGCTCTGGGGAGCTATTCTGTACCAGTGTAACTACTGTAAGGAGCTCAACAGGCTCAGCAGGGATTTCCAGTGAGCTCCAGAGACAGCTTTATTCACAAGAACTGTAGCATATTGACAGGACAAAAACATACCTGTTTGAAAAGAAATGGGAGACAGATCCTAGGTGGTAATGGAAAACCTAAATCAAATACATGGCATGAATTAAGGTAAGCATTCCAAAAAAGTATTAAGCGTAATTGCTTTGAAATCCCAGAATACATACTTTGTGATTTGAAGTTTTTTTCTCTGCAGACTGGATCATGACACTTCTGATACCAGACTTCCTTCTTTAGATCTACCACAATCCTAAAAATGAAGCAATTTATTTTTTAGTAACACAAATTAAGTGAATGCAGAGAGAAGGAAACTAACACTAAATAAACAGGTTTCATTTGTCCCCATCTGTGGATATTGCTTTTCATTCTCTGAAATGCTTACTGCATACTTGTTTTGTACAGGCCCTAATTTTTTAGAATAAACTTCAGGTTTCTTAAGTTAAAAATGCATTTATTTTAAGAGTAGCAGTGAAATTTATTCATTACACAAAGCTTGGAAGAAAAAGTCATTACAGTAAGATTAGTATATGGGACACAGTAAGATTAGTATATGGCATATACACAGATAAGTGCAAGGTAAGGTTTTGTTGCTGTTGCTGTTAGAGTTAATTTCATTATAAAAGACAGATAAAAGCACTATTTCCTGTCAACTGATTAGACAACCCTGCTTTTTCAGCTGTGATTTAGAAACACCAAGTTCATCTAGCATAGTGGCTGTGGACAGGTTTTTTTATACCTTTGTTTCTCCAAAACACATTCGTTGCAGTTATTTTAAAGGTTATATAAAATTATTTTCAAGTTAAAATATTTCCACTGATGATATATTGCAATTCTAATGTCATCTGAAAAACCTGACTTTGCAAGATTTCTTTTGCTAATCTGTAAGAAGTCTGAGTCCTTGTAGAGCGACGAGCAAAACTCACCCTGACTGCCATGGGGGCAGGAGTTGCCCTTGTCCTTTTAATAACGTTAAGATGCAATGTAATGAATTTTAAAGTGTTCTGTTTTCTTTATCTTACTTGTGACTGCTCAGCTTCCTTGCTAAGCAGCATCAAAGCACAGTACCACTTAATAGCTTTAATATACTCTGCTTTGTATGTGACCATCTTCAGGCACATATTTTAAATAGGATGAAGATTACTTCATAGAAATATTAGAAATACAAGTTCGGTTATCACAGAGTACATTGAGGGTTTTGGTTGGTTGATTTTTAAAAGCATAGTATCCTCACAAAGAAACAGCCCAGAAATTGGTAACAGCTGCCAATTCTATCCATAATTTTTCAGCATTATTATAGAATAACAGTTGAGCAGGACAATAAAGCTGTTTTGCAGCGAATAGTTACAGAACGTACATTATGTTGTTACTTTTGTGAGCTCTTCCAATATTTGCACACCACCGGTAACCAGAAATATCATACACAAGTATTTCATCTGGAGAGAAATAATTCCATCGCCGTATTCCTGGGGGAAATTAAAAAGAGAATTAATTACTGAAAAATACTGCTGCAGAATACTCATTTGTAAATAGCAAAATGGTCTTTACCTCCTTGTACCCCATCTTTATTAACCAAAGAACGAACAAAACAATCAATTTCTGGATATGGTGAATCCTGATAACCATCCATGGAATCTGTTAAAACAAAGGCCACGTATATGCCTAGTTACTCGTTTTGCCATTGCCATATGCAACTGTAACACTGCAACACATTGTATAGCCCATAGACAGAAAATGTACATGAATCACACCAAATCCTTAAATAAAAACAGGCTAAATCCACTGTTATTTTCCTGTAGATCTTTAAATTGCTACTGCCACCCCCAAGGAGCCAGGGGAAAGGGGACAAAGCATGGCTGCCATGGAAGCTCATTGAGAGGAGGTTCAGCGGCTGCCAGTCACATGCTGCACAGCATCCGTCAGTGCAGCTGCATGCTGCCTCCTGCAGAAAGCTTGCCGAAGAAAAGCCCTCCTCGAGGTTATCAGGTGTGTCAGTCACAGTATATCCAGTGAAAGAGTAGAAAAGGCTTGGAGTACCTCTACTGCTTTTGGTATTCTGACTGTTCAAAACCGCAGACATGTTCCCCTCCTCCTCTGAAAGGCCAGATGACAGAACTTTTGTGTCATCCCTCACTCTGAAGAGAATACAAAGGAAAATCTCTGATTCTTACAGCACAACATGGTATGGTGTAACATACTGCAACGTACCACAGTATGCCATGACATAACACAGTCCAAGGCTACAGGCTACAGGCATCCCTGCAGGAGCAGGTGGCTGGACCAACTGACATCCAGAGGTCCCTGGCAGCCTCAGCCAGCCTGTGAGGCTGTCTGTAACCTTTCCCTATCCCTGTGGCACTTCTTTCATTTAAAGACTGCTGGTCCACCCTCATGCAGCAGTACTTGCTCCAGATATAATATATATATATATATATATATATACACACACACTTTGAAAGGTCTCAGATGTTTTTTTCTCTTTAAAATGAGCTACTTTTCCTTGTCATATTACTAGCTGGAAGGCAGATGATCAGACAAGACTCAATTCAACACAGCAGTTCTCATACATATTTATGACAGATTCAGCTGATGCCTGTGATCTGAACACATGACACCATTTATGCTACCGGGCTATGGGCTAGCAAACATTTCAGGATATGAAAACTTCAGTCACAACAAATACCTGTTTTTAATAAAAATATTATACACAATACCATACAGCTGTATGTAGTACTTTGACTTTCTGCTTTCTGCTGCAGTAATGACTAGGATCATCTTAATGTACCGTCAATACAGGGTAAGATATATCAGAGGTTTAGATACAGAAAACTTGATTATTGTATATACCAGTATCCAGCCTAAGGAGGTATCTGTACCAAAAAGGCAATCTGGTATGGAAATAAACATGTACAAAAATCCTTTATTTTTTTTAATCAGACTTAAGACAATATTTACTGTTTATATTTGAGTAGAAATAAACTTTTTCCTCTCAAAACTATACAGAATCCAACCAAAATTAACAAGTTATCATTTCAGCATGTGCGTATAGAGAGATAAGGCACAACTCAGAAGCCAAACCACGCATTCTGTAGTGTTCTTCAAACTTTTAAAGAGACTCGAGAAAAAGGAATTCTACTGGAAACTTCTAAATTACCCTGTAACAATGTCCACGGAAGAACTGCCCATTGATAATAATTATTCACAACTGCCACAGGAGAAAAATCACTAAAATACATGTTTAAAAATACTTAAATGCCACCAGAATGAAACGATTACCTAACATTGCAGACCAAGGAGGAAAGAAAATACTCTTCTTCCATGGAGACATTCTGTTCACACTTAGGGACAAAT